GCTGTGTCATTTTATTATGGGAAATGTCCTCAGTCGTCATTTCCCAGCCAGCTACCTGAACGCTCTTTTCGTTTGTTTGATCATACTGTGTATTTCATCATTGTGACTCAATATAAAACAACCTGACTTAAAGTTTCATTATTATTTGTTTTTCTGACGTGAAAATAAATTCCAAAAAAACGAATTGCAATTGACGCAAACATTGAAGAGGCCATTTGTTTAGGTGGCTTTTGGACTATTATGCAGCGGAAAAACTCTTCTTTGCAAGTCAGCCAACCGAGATCCTATCACTCTATTACCGTTTTTAGATTTTTTGTATGTTTTCATTTGTGTATTTTAAAAAACTACATTAGTTACATAAACTACACATTCTCGACTAGTGACATGTAGTAAATGTAGTTTATTAATTACTACGTGTAGTTTAACAACTCTGCTGATGACCACAATCAACACAATCACAACTTATTCAGTTCAAAATATGCATCTGTGGTAGTTTAATTTGTAAGTATCATTGATCATTCGTAGTATTCTTTGTAGTATTCGTACAAGACCCTGAGGGTTGGTTATTCTACATGAAAGCTGTATGACCTATGTTGGACGTATGGTTAAGCCAGAGATATGGAAGTGGGAGAATGACTCTGAGCCTAGTTCATGCACTTACGAATTGCGATTTACGATTTGCGAAATGCGTTCTGTTTGCCTTGTAATTGGTCCCTTTCAAGCAGGTTTCGGAAGTAGTTAATTAAGACGTAATTTACCTGATTAACTACGTGTAGTTTTTCTTCAAAAACTACGTCTTTTCCCGTTCATTAACTACATGAAACTACGTTAATAAACTATGTATTGATATTATGAATAATTTTCCTTTATATGAGGTGTAATAGAGATAATATGATGTAAATATTATATTTAAAGCCATATTTCTTCTGTTTTCTTAAATATATTATGTGTTTTTAAAGCTTCAACTTATTATAACCTCACCTCAAACCTTTGATATTTGAAAGTAACATACATAGGTTACATAAACTACACCCTCTACATAAACTACATTAACTACATGTAATGTAGTTTATGTAGTTTTTAAAAGTAACATGTAGTTTTCCGAACCCTGCTTTCAAGGTCTCCCTTGAAGGCAACCAATTAGAACGAGAACAGAACGTATTTCGCAATTCGTAAATCGCAATTCGCAAGTGCATGAACTATGCTACATAAAATTACGGAGTTAAGCCTTGGGAGCATTGGGAGCAGGGTTCGGAAGTAGTTAACTAAGACGTAATATTTACCTGATTAACTACGTGTAGTTTTTCTTCAAAAACTACGTCTTTTCCCGTTCATAGATAACAACGGCATACGGTCGAGTCGGCCGCTGCTGGCACGTATACGTAGACGTAAAGAATCTTTTACGTGTATAAAAAATAAAAAATATAAGAAATGCGCATGCGTACGTAAACGTTTACGTGTTTGTAGGCCGACTCGACCGTATGCCGTTGTTCTCTATTAACTACATGAAAACTACGTTAAGGTAATGGTGTGGATCCGGTGGCTGACCTTGAAACGAGTTTTTGCTGCATATAGTCACAGACACTACGCATGCGCACATCTTCGATGTTGCCAGTTTGTAAGTTATTTTGGAATTATTTTCAGTAAAAAACAAATATGTGCTTTTCAGTGTTTTTTTGTCAATATATACCGTATGATCGAAAAAACGGCGTCCAGTTGGCTGGGAAATGACGATTGAGGACATTTCCCATATAAAATGACAGCGATCTTCATTTCATAGTCATCGCTGACGCTATTTTTTTTTCAATAATAGTACGCCGTATATTATTTATATTATTATTTTAATATTTCGCATAACACGTGAACGCTTATTATGTATTTTCATAATCAATAAAATTAAATAGAAATAAAACTCTAGATTCCTATAATTAATCTAATTGCTCTAGATTATGATGCTACGTGTAAAAAGGATTCGGGAAATTAAATGGGATGTGTCCAAGTTTTTTCTTTTTTTTTTTAATTTTTAAATGCTGTAGCTCCATGTCATGTTCATAACAGTTTTTTTTAACATTCCATCAAAACTACGGAGGTCTTTTAGCCTCCGTTATTAAAATTGTAGAATCAGCTTCAGCAACATTAACAGTTACCTTGTTTAATTCTGCTTATACATATATTGCATTAATTTTTCTGCTACCTTAAGATTTCTCTATTCTTACACCTAATTTATGTGAATTTCTTAGCATATATGATTTATAAACCATATTTTTCCTAATGGAAGGATGGAATAGGATATGCAAAATTAAGATACTTTAACATTTATTTTCCAGACAAAGTATAATATAGTATTAAGATTAAGACATAACAAATATTATAAGAAAGATCTTAATATAAATCACAAACTAACTAAGTCTTAATTTGGTCTTGTATAAACACAGGTATAAAACTAATAAGATCAAAACTCAACCTTCACCATATTGTCAAAATTTGGCATTTTAGGAAACAAGAAATTGCAGTAAATTAAGAAAAGAATATCAAAGTACACGATATCAAATACTGGGTAATTACCAAATAACTGTAATGTATTCTACGACACAAACCATCTCCCTTCTAAAGAGAAAAAGATAAAACATAAAGCTTATTTTAGTCTTATCAACACACTTTTCGATAAAATATATGTCTAAAATTGCTATTAATCCACTAACTTGATATTTTTAAGAAATTATGATACAAACATTATAATCAAAGTATATTATTTTAGTAACATTATAGGTAAAATGTTACCTCTATCTCCCATTGACGTGGATTGTTCTATAAGACTCGTCATGGTAGTACTTCAATACATCAATACATATAAGCAAAACTATTGTTGCCTGTAAATAACTAGAAATTAAATAACTTAAAAGAAATAAAATAATTCTAATAAGTTTAAAATCAAAATAAAAACACTAAATCACCACAATACACCAAAACACTTTTACTTTTACACTGGACGCGCGTTTCGCTAACCATGTTAGCATCATCAGCAGATGATTATAAACTAATAAAACCATTAAGAAAAAATCCGTAAATGATAATTTGTAATTCTAATGTAAATATATAAATAAATGTTATTATTATTACAATTTTATATATTCATAATACTTTCATTTCACAATCTTCATTATCTTTCTTACCTTAATTTTGGATATCAAGATAAATCTGAAATTATAAAATTATTTATAGAATTTGTATTATTATTGATTAACACTCAAAAAAAAATTCAACTGCAAATAATTCGAAAATAAACTACAATTTGGCAACATCGACGATGTGCGCTTGCGTAGTATTGATGATCAAATGCAGCAAATATGGGCTTCAAGGTCAGCCACCGGATCCACACCTTTACCAAACTATGTATTGATATTAATGATATTATGAATAATTTTCCTTTGTATGAGGTGTAATAAATATGATGTAAATATTATATTTAAAGCCATATTTCTTCTGTTTTCTTAAATACATTATGTGTTTTTAAAGCTTCAACTTATTATAACCTCACCTCAAACCTTTGACATTTGAAAGTTACATACATAGGTTACATAAACTACACCCTCTACATAAAATACATTAACTACATGTAATGTAGTTTATGTAGTTTTTAAAAGTAAAGCCCCGTTCTCAGGGTGCAGCCACACTATCCTAAAAACGACGTATCGGCGTAACGGCGTAATGACCTTGAATAGATTTCCAGTAATTCTATTGGCTGAAACATTCATCTGTCAGGAATTTTATCTGTCAAATTCATCTCAAAAATTTCAGCCAATAGAATTACTGGAAATCTATTCAAGGTCGTTACGCCGTTACGCCGATACCAAAGAGTAGATAAGACTATCTACTCTTTGCCGATACGCCGTTTTTAGGACAGTGTGGCTGCACCCTCAGAACTACATATAGTAGTGTCGACAGCGACACTGATTGACACTTCAAACGACCAATGGGAGCTGTACTAAATTTAAAATTGACAGCTGTTTGAATTTTGTACAAATCTGATTGGTTCTTTTGTCGTGTCGCTGGCGACAGTCGCAGTTCTGAGAACGGGGCTTAAAGCCAGCCTTAAGCCCCGTTCTCAGAACTGCGTCGTGTCGACAGCGACAATAATTATTTTTTAAGACATAACCTAAACGAAACGAAATCAGAAGTCGAGAAAGATAAACAAAACTGCCGAATTTAGAAACGAATATGACTTTTTTCCTTTTTTCTTGTCACAGTTGAAACAAACAAGGATAAAGCTATTTTCGTAAAACATGCGTGAGACGTGCTAATAAGTAGCCTAAAGCCCCGTTCTCTGAACTGCGACTGTCGCCAGCGACACGACAAAAGAACCAATCAGATTTGTACAAAATTCAAACAGCTGTCAATTTTAAATTTAGTACAGCTCCCATTGGTCGTTTGAAGTGTCAATCAGTGTCGCTGTCGACACGACGCAGTTCTGAGAACGGGGCTTTAAGCCCGTTCAGCTGTTTGAATTTTGTTTTGTACAAATCTCATTGGTCCTCTTGACGTGTCGCTGGCGACAGTCGCTGTTCTGAGAACGGGGCTTAAAGTAGCCCAATAAGCCCCGTTCTCAGAACTGCGTCGTGTCGCTGGCGACACAGTTTGACATTTCAAACAACCAATGGCAGCTGTACTAAATTTAAAATTGACAGCTGTTTGAATTTTGTACAAATCTGATTGGTTCTTTTGTCGTGTCGCTGGCGACAGTCGCAGTTCTGAAGCCCCGTTCTCAGAACTGCGTCGTGTCGACAGCGACACTGATTGACACTTCAAACGACCAATGGGAGCTGTACTAAATTTAAAATTGACAGCTGTTTGAATTTTGTACAAATCTGATTGGTTCTTTTGTCGTGTCGCTGGCGACAGTCGCAGTTCTGAGAACGGGGCTTGAGAACGGGGCTTAACATGTAGTTTTCCGAACCCTGATTGGGAGTTAAAAACTGGTTTAATCCTTGTTTAATCTATGGGATGGGCGAAATACCCGCCAAAATATCATAAGTTGACGTATGATCTGGGTCTGATCTGGTCTAATCAAAAGTGTATCATTTTTTGCGGAAATTTATTTGAAAATATAATTGATATATCTTTAAGTTTTCTTCTAAATAATCAGCTGAAGTCTATCAACAAAATCTAATTTCTTTGTGATTGTATTTAGTTTAGTGTAGACAATTTATTTTCTTTTGCAAACATGAATACATGGAATCCTGGTAAACACGTCTTAAGAGTCTTAAGTTATGTTTAGCATAAATTAATATTTCTTTTAAGGCATGAGGGACACGACTGGCGCCGGAGGCTTTTTACATAACACAATAAATGTTAATTCTCCTGCTACCAAACCAAAAAGAGTATGTTTTAAAATATTTATTTCACAACTTTTGGTAATCAATTTTCCTATTACAGGGTAGAAGAATACAGAGTCTACTTCCACTTGTAATTAGACAAATACGAGATTGCAACCATGATGAGTTTAAGCTTTTTGGAAGACAAGCACAAATAGTAAGGGATTGATTATGTTTTTTAAGTTATTTCATTATTATTTCATAAGGTTATACTTGTTGGAATTATTAAAGAAGTGGAAGTGCAGTCTACAAAAGCAACATACAAAATAGAAGATTATACTGGAAGTATAAAAATGGTATGGTGGCTGGAAAATGATTCGAGAGATGGTTCTCCCAAATTGCCTTCAGTGAAAGAAGGATCTTATGTCAAAGTTTTTGGAACTATTCGAAGTCAAAATAATGATAAAAGTATAATGGTATTAAAAATGTTTCCAGTTGAAAATTGTAATATTATTAATACACATTTATTGGAAGTTGTACACACAAGACTACAAGCAGAATCTAAGCAACTAAACACAGTAAGATTAATTACTATATAGATTATTACATATTAGATATCTATGTTATGGTTAAGGTCCGAAATAAAGTTAATCTCAATATTAATCTGTTAATCTTGAGAATATCATAAAACAAAACAACCAAAAAGAAAACCTAACCCAAACATTAATATGATATTAACTCTATTTCGGACTTTATCCTTAACATACCAGGTGCGTCTCGAAAGTGACTTGCCCCGATAACTTTTTTATTTTTTCAAATAAAATAACGAGACTTGGTACGTTAGTATATGACTTCAATCAGGATTGATTGACGGATTCAATTGTTTTTGCTAACTTCCTGTTTCACTGGAAATGACTACAACTCTTGATTTTTAAATGGCACCCTCGGTATTTTTTTACTTTATTCAATAGAAAATGTCATTCTGAATAGAATGACATATCATATATCAACTTTTGACATTCTCGCTTAATTAAAATAAAAAATTGTATTTTTAATTTCAATCTAGAGTGCCATGGCTATGTTAAAAACACTAATTCTTAATCAAGGAGCCTTGGAAAAATAGATTGGATCTTCTAATGTTTTTAGTGTCTTGTTCTGATCAGTTAAAAATTGCTCAAATCGCATTTTTAATCATATCTCAATTTTTTCAAATGGAACGAGGGTGGCTCACTAGCATATTTGGAAAAAGCTTTTTTTTACGAATAATTTGATACCACACACTTGGTATTTCGAGTCAAAGTTTCGTTACGAACTGCAAGTTATAATTTCAAATAAACCATATGCGAAAATGTCAAAAGTTGACATGTGATATGTTATTCTATTCAGAATGTTATTTTGTATTGAATAAAGTAAAAAAATACCGAGGGTGCCATTTAAAAATCAAAAGTTGTAGTGATTTCCGGTGAAACAGGAAGTGACCGAAAACAATTGAATACATCAATCAATCCTAATTTATGCCATATACTAACATACCAATACTCGTTTTTTTAACTGAAAAAATAAAAAAGTTATAGGGGTGAGCCATTTTTGAGACGCACCCGGTATATGTACACCGATGTACACATAATATTTTAAAAAAAATTAAAGATTAACATGTTTTTTCTAATATTTTTTTTTTGAAAGAATGGGTTTCTTAGAAGGATCAGGGTTATAGTAGAGAGAATGTTCGCAATTATGAAGGAGAATGTTCTTGATCATTCAGGATCAATATGCATGAACGTCCTCTTGAGAGCATGTATTATGAGCAAAAACGAGTAATTTTTACATTTTTTAAAGTGATTCATTATTTTTGAGACTAAATAGCTTGCTGTAGATAAATGCTAATGTTTATCTGTGTCATCTGTACTGAAGTAACGACTTGCTCTAGTTGCTTTTTTTTACTAAAAGATAGCTAATGGGCTCTTCTAAAAACTGTCGTCGCCGGATTTTTTGTTTTTCATTTAATAAAAAAAATATATGTTTTCTTCCTGATGCGATGTAGTGGCGGATGCGCCAGGCTTCAACTGGTTACTGATATATAGGTACTGACTCTCCACATCAAATTGTTCAGTGTGGTTGTGTGTTATTTAAGGTACTATGAGAAATAGGTTTCCAACTTCGGCAATCTCATTCTAGAGTGCTTGGGGTTCTTTAAACATTAGTGTCTAGTTTCAAGTCAACATTTTTCTACAAATTTTTAAAAATTCTTGTTTACCTTGGTTAAACAATGCGGAAGTTCTGTCACAACCAGTTATTGCGTGCACAGTAAGTGTGCGAACACAGTGCAAGCAGGTTTGCCGCTTACTGGTAGTCAGCGCCAATCTGGGCACCTATTCTTGACATCGTTCGCAACTTTGCGTATACGCATCACGTGTATTGTTATAAACAGGGTATCCCAGAAATAAGTGCAAGTATTTTAAAGGGTGGTTGATCTCGATAAAAGAAACATATTTTCTCTTTATCGTTTTTCAAATAAGTCCAAAATAATGGAGTTATTTTACTTTGAAAATTTCCAAAAAAAAATATTTTTTGCTAAAATTTTGAGAACCTTCTTCTTCATGTGCCTTCTCCTCATCGGAGGTTGGCGACCATCAATTGGAATTCCTCCCTGTCTTGAGCCAAACGGATAATTGCACTGGCCTCTCCTATATTAAACCACTGGCGCAAATTCCGCAACCAGGAAAACCGTTTACGCCCGATGCCTCGTCGTCCTTCAATCTTTCCCTCAACGATCAGCTGTAGGAAACTATAATTGTTATTTCGGAAAATATGACCAAAATATGCTGCTTTCCGTCGTTTTATTGTAGTCAATAGTTCTTGGTCCTTACACATTCTTTCCAATACTTCGAGATTTGTTTGAGAACCACTGGATCTTTTCTGGATTTTCTTTCTTGTAAATTTAATCTACTACCTATGTTGCCATATTATCAAGAAATTATTTTTTTAAATAAAAACTAAAAAAAAATTGCAAAAAACAAAAATATTTTCAAAAATTCCGAATTTTCAAAAAAAATTATTTAGAAAAAAACCTCATAGGCGTGTTTCTGGGGTTGAACTATACTACCAGTTAAGTTAAAATACTTGCACTTATTTCTGGGACACCCTGTATATGGTTACATAGTAGCGCCGCGCCGCGCCGCCTCGCGCTTATAACCTTGAAAAATTAAAGCGTGTTATCAAATCGGCTAGTTCACAGTGAAAGCAGGCAGGCACCGTCAACCAGCGTTCATCGGCGTTCTCGCTTTTACCGGAACGAAAATTTATTTATTTCTGCTTTTGCACGCGCCGACGGCGCACAGGGGGTATTAAGAACTAAAAGTTGGCCAAAATTATGTTTTATGATTTTTTTGCTTTTTTGCTAGTAATATTAATTATTAATTAGAGGAGAGGTTGCTAATATGGAACCCCATTTTGTTTTTCCTACACAATATTTTTTCCTCTACTCTGAAACCCTTTCCACCGATCAAATAGGGCCATTCTGTGCAAAACCAAGCAATTGGATGAGGATGCTAGAACAAGAAAGTAATTTGTATATTATAGACGATATTTGAGCGAGGATGGGTGTTAATAGGGTAAAGACTATTTCCTTTAAGAATCTATTTAAATCAATGTTTTTTTTGGCAGTGGCAAATATTGGCAAGATTTTTGTGCATATTCCAATGCTGGAGACTTTAAGCATTGAACGGATACTAATTTCCATGCGGAATATTGCCGAATAGTCTTACACCTTATAAAAATGCCACTGATTTTTTAAATATAAAACATTATAAAAAAATAGAATAGAAGGAAACGTTTCAAAATAAAAATATGGCATAAAACAGAACAGAGCCAACAAACAAAGCTGGCTCTGTATCCATCATGACAGTTATTATGAACAATTTGCAAAAAAAGCACTACAAACAATTCCACTATTTTTATAATCTTAGAAATATTCAGAATACACTCAAGATAATTCATACTTTTAACTGAAATATATTATTTATTTGATAGTCAACTTACGACTTAAAAAAAGCTAATAAACGTGCTTACATTTAGTATTTATAGATTTGTATTCAGTTAAGATAAAAAATGAAAATAAAAAAATATCACTTTTGGCCAGGTTTATAAACCAAATACATCTATGTGCGGCCCCGGCGAGGCGGGCGCGGCGTTTGAATATGGTTTGGTTAGGTTAGGTTAGTTAATCAGGTAAATTTCCTCTTAATTATCTACTTCCCGTATCCTTCTCGCATCTCCGAAATAGCCATATACAATACACGTGATGCATATACGCAAAGTTACGCATCTGTGTATTGTTATATGGCTTTTTAAGAGATGCGAGATGCGAGCGATATTTGGTGATGCGAGTGGTCAAGAATAGGTCCCCAGAGACGGCGCCGGTTGCCGGAAAGCAGAAACCTGCCTCCACTATGTTCGTACCCTAATAATATATGATCAAACACACTAGGAGCGTACAGTGTTTCACATGTAGAATGTTTAGGAGGGGAGTTAATCACCGCGACCTTATAGATCTATTGTGTTTCACATATCATTCGTTCGTTTCTTTTCAATAAGAGAATTCTACGATTCTGTCTATTCTCTATCCAACCCAGGCTTATCAAAACCACCAAAAGATTGATATATTTTCCCTCTACTATGATACTATAGTAATGTATTTTAATTAATGGGCATGCACATCAGGGTCCTTTATACAGGGTCGCTGTTATGTATGGAAACGGTTGATTGATGCCGAAATTAAATACAAAAATTATAGGGTTTTTAAATGTCTATGGGCGAGTAATTAATTTATATATACATAAGGTCGGTCATAAAGTCGTAGCACATCAAAGTTTTAGTTTCATTTAATGATGCCATTCTGCCGCATAATCAAAACCGGTTCCGAAGAACTAACGATTTATTTGTTAATGGTATTGAGCATTGTTTTTTTATTCTGCTGCTTGGCTGCTGCCTAACAGTTTAAATAGGAATGGTGCTGTTAAAAATGTATCATACAAATATATAAAAATCTGACTTAAGCCTTTTATAAAAAGACTTAAGTCTTTTTAATGATTTAAGTCTGTTCTGATCTGACTTAAGTCTTTTTCATGATTTAAGTCTTTTCTATAAAGACTTAAATCTTTTTCTATTTCGGAATAAAGATTTGACTCACAAGTCATTATAAAAAAGACTTAAACTTTAGTCTTAAGTCAGCTTTTGAAAAATGACTTAAAATCAAACGACTTAAGTCATTAAAATGATTTAAATCAAAAAAAGGCTTAAGCTTGCAGCTCTGTTTGTAATGTAATTCGATTCTTCAATCACTTTTTGCAAATTCGTCAATAACGTCATCATAAAAACATGGATGTTCCGACATGTTTTGAAGGAGTTAATTTTCGATGGACATCAGCGATATTTGCGAAAGTTGCTCCTAACCCGATGAATTTCTCACGAAATTTGTTATATGTTTAAGTGTCGAAAAATTGCGTTAAATTCTAATTCACACAATTTCGACACTTCGGTGTAGGCATCTTCTAGCTCCTTGTCTTTTAAAATTGCATTAGTTCTCTAGCGTTATTTTTGCACTAATGTCATCAGTTTCAATCAGTTTTAGTTCAGATCGCAGTAACTCTCAGTCAAAGAACTGGCCATATTGAAGAAGAGATTTAAACGCATCTTCTGGAAAAGTTTTTCCTTTATATGGATCAAAATTGCAAAACAGTTTCTGTTGATCTTTTGGCACAAAAACATTTCAAATTTATAATTTCAGTATAATAACTATTTAGTCAACATGTTTAATTTATGTCAATGATGATAGGTATTGATAATTTCAATAAGTCACTTGCACATACTTCAATTTTTACCTGAAAACTACTTAAATACCTTCATAAATACAACACATAGCACCACCACGATATACACACATAGCACCATACTCCCGACAAGAATTAGAACAAGCGGTTATGCGAGGGTTTGCATCTCTCACCCCTATTGAGTTAATGAATTCCGCCAGAAATGTCCAGAAACGGTGCCGTCTGTGCATCAGAGAAGACGGTCGACATTTCGAACACCTCTTGTAGAAAAATTACTTATTATTATTCTGGTTTGTTATTTTTATTTTATTTTAAATATCACTTTAGTTTAAATGTGTTTTTGTTGTTAAATATAGTTTAATTTGTTATAAAATTGACCACATTTTATTGTATGTATTTGTTTTTTTTAATTACTGATTACAGCTACCGGTAAACATTTGATTTTTGCATTATATTGTAGCGCTGCGCCGTCCAAAGCCTACTTATTCCAAGTGGGCGAACTTTTAAAAATCTCTATTTCAAAGAGAACTCAACTAGCAAATCTCCCCCAAAAATATTGAAAAATTTTCAACATTTTTGTGTTTTTACGAAACAAACCTTATAGACATTTTCCTGGGTCGAACCTTAAAAATATTTGCACTCATTTAAGACTCACCCTGTAGGTATATTATCATCCGTTGTACCTGTTCATGAATTTTCTCGGTAAAATTAGATCAAACGCATATTCAGTTAAACCAGCTGAGTTATGCTTGAAATCTCTTTAATTTTAATACGCCATTTAACAGACTATAGCCATATGTCAGGGATCATAGGCTTCAGCCGTCAGTAGTAGATAACGAAAAAATGGCAAAGGCTTTTCCAGAATTTTCAAAGGAACATTATTTCTGACTCCATTAATACGATAAACATGTTTGACAGTTAATAATAAGTTGATATTTGTTCATACATAGTGCATCATGATAGTGCATTCTGACATAATCAATTTCTAGAATGTTTAAATTTTTTTGTAGAATATTTAATTACTATCTAAGAAAGGGTAACTAAAATTCCTAAAAAAATAGCTCCATTAACATAAAAAAGTCAAATCTGTACAGGGAGTTCCATTTTTGTATGTTTTACAGGGTTTCTCGTTTATGAGTAGAGATCCAAAGATGCGGTTTTTACATCACTGTGCTATTTTTTATGAAGCTAAAGATTTAAACACAGCTTTGTCCTAGTCCTTTTTGTCCCTGAAATACCGGGCGAATTTGCAAATTTTGCATATTTCGAGTCGAAAGGTGATAACTCAGGCCCATAGAGTTTTTCACGTAGAATCCAATGGCGTTACTAGTTTTTTGGTTGGAACGTCATTTTTAAAATATGATTCAAACTTATGTTTTTTCCAATGATTAAAAAAATTAAATAATTTTTTATATAGTATATTTTCTAAAAATATACTATTAATAATAATTATTCCAATATATTATATTATATTATACAGAGTGTCCTAGAAATAAGTGCAAGTATTTTAACTGGTAGTATAGTTAAACTTAATTTCGATTATAAACTTCACCCGGGACCTTTAAATTTGACGTCACACGAAAACGTTACACCACTGTTTGTGACGTCACGAGGTACGATTTTGGTAAGGCAGTTTACACAAGCGGATAAAGTCTGCCGTTCTACTAAAATATTCGGAAACAGCAACAAAAAAGCAAAGAACCACTTATCAAAACTCACGCGTGCAACTAAGTAAAACTCAAAATCACTAAAAAAGGTTCAAATAATAAAAATAACCTTAACAGCCCAGTTTAGTCCGAGCACCTGAGTAGACAGCAGACTTTATTCGCTAAATCATTTTACTGCCGTTTTACCAAAGTCTATACAGGGTGAGTTTCCTACGATGTTCTCTATGGGTATCTCGGAAACTACTGGAGATAGAGAGTCGGTTAAATGGGGAAAGAATTGCAGTTTTGTGGGGTCATAAATATGCGCTTTTCAGAGTTTTCAAAAAGTTCATGGCTTATTAGATATTTCGAAAAAAACAAATTTCGGCTATTTTAAAAATTGTCCCTAATTCCATTATAAGCTATTTTAGACAAAAAGTTTTCAGATAAAAGTTGTAGATAATCACATCCTTAATGAGATTGTGTCCTCCGTTTTTTTCTAAAGCCTGTCATTTTTGACATATGACACAAACATATGTTTTTTTAAATGGAAACTATAGTTGGGTATGACTTCATAAAAAGCGCCATTTTTTAAGCTTTTCGGCGATATAAGCTATAATATGTTTTCTTCGAAAAATTATCGAGTTATAGCCAATTCTTATCATTTTTAAACAATTTCACTTAGTTAGCCATGGAAACAAGTTAATCGTCTTTGCTCTCATAAATGTGAAGCTGTCACATCCAAAGTTTGTAAATTAAAATAAACAAAAATTGTAAATATGATTTTTTCAAATGATGAAAAGCGTGTAAGATTATTGGTTCAACTTTTCTTGACCATACATTTTCGAGGATACGTTGACGTTTTTTGATGTTGACGATGTTACGTTTTTTAGAGAAAGTTTTCAAGACTTGTTAGAAAAGTTAAATTTAATTATAGCCAGTTATTACCTTTTTTGACTAATTTCACTTAGATTGCATGGTATCCTTATTCTGTTATGATTTATAACTTATAAAAAATCGGAATATATTACTAAACGGTTCTTTAGAATTTACATTACACTAACTAAAACTTAAAAAAATAATATCACTGCATACACTTTAAGTTATTTTAGGAAATGTTCAAAAAATCTGCCATTGCTTTGAGTTGCATCTTTTTAAAACTGAATTACTACTTATTCTCACGGAAGGACCGGTCGACTTAATTAAACTTCTCTCGTACCGCCACTTCGAGTGCCTCTCTTAATACATAAGTTCTTTTGTACACCTTATTGTTAACCATACCCCATAAGAAAATCTAAAATGGATAGGTGAGGTGATCGAGCAAGCCCATGCAATTAGTCCATCTCTTCCTATCCCTGAGTTTGCATAATTATGATATAAATAATTTTTAACATTTCTTTCAATATGAGGGGGGGGTTACAATGGGGGGGGTCGTCTGAAAACTTTTTGTCTAAAATAGCTTATAATGGAATTAGGGACAATTTTTAAAATAGTCGAAATTTGTTTTTTTCGAAATATCTAGTAAGCCATGAACTTTTTCAAAAATCTGAAAGGCGCATATTTATGACCCCACAAAACTGCAATTCTTTCCCCATTTAACCGACTCTGTATCTCCAGTAGTTTCCGAGATACCCATAGACACGTAACATCGTAGGAAACTCACCCTGTATACTATTTTACGTTGTTCATAGGTACTATTAGTAATAATACACAAATTTTAATATGCTTATTGCTTTCAAGTTAGCCATTGTAGTTGGTCATATTGTTCGATTTACATATATAAAATTTGATTAATACATAATAAAACTTGAGTAAAACCATATTATTTTTTTAAAAAAGTTATAAGCAGTAAAAAGTGGGACAAAATAAAATGATAACACTATACACTATGTAAATATCTATTATGTAAATATCTTGACAAAATATAAACATTTATTATTAATATAATTAAAAAAGCTTGTTTTTTGTGAGCTTATTAAGGGTCGTTGTGTATTCACTAAACCACAGGCAATATATGTAGTATAGTCTAATTGACAAATCAAATTAATGTGGATGTAAGCATAATGTTTTAACACTTCAAACTCTCTTAAACACCTTATAACTCTTTCGATATGGATTCTTAGACTTAGACTTTTGATATAGCTTCTACGATGCCTATCCTGTAAAGGATTTCTTCTTTCATAATATTTACTCAATAAAACTTACCTATATGTTACCTGTTAACTATATGTGTATAACACAATTACACGTCTCGTTATATTTCGTACATTATAAAAATTATACAGATCATACTATGAATAGTTCTGACTGACAACGAAACCCATTAGCAAGCAACGGGGATGTCAGTGTTAGTTGGGAACTATTGTGAACTAAAGACCTAGTTCAAGGAACGTTATTTCCTCCACTATAGTTTTCTGTCTGTCCATGTTTTCTCTGATTGTCTCGTTTCATACTCTGTCTAGTCTTGATGTTCATGCTGATCTTATAGCGTACATTTTTACCGCCAGTAATTTTCTTTCGTTGTTCTCTGTTAAACTCCATGGTTCCGCCCCAATTAACAAATTGCTCTTCATTATCGCATCAGAAATTGTTAGTTTTCTGTCTTTACCTATTTCGTTGCTCCAGAACATGTTATTCAGACATTTTATTGCATCTCTGGACTATTCTCGAGGTGATTTCTTTGTTGTCTTTTCTGAATTTGTCGAAAGTAACGCCTAAGTATTTGTTATCGTATATAATCATTCTCCAGTTGCATAGCTATGTGGCAATTGTACTGCTGTTTGATTTATTCTATTTTTTCCAACCTATTTTGTTTACGCTAATTTTTCGACATTGTGCTTTATTCTCGACATTTACTCGTTCATTCTCTGGGAATAAATTCTCAAGCATTTTACAACACTAGTTTCCATATTGAAAATTCAGAATGCAGATTGAGATACTTAAATTTTAGACTAAGAAGATCCTAAAGAACAATCCAGGCGCCCAGCTAATAAACTCTATGAAATGTTACGACGAAAATGTAGCAGGTGCTGCAGAAGTTAAATTTACAGACATGCAAAATAAGGTATACAAAATTCTAAAAGCTAATACTACAGATACTGGTACTAATCGAGTTTCAGTATTATCGAAGTTCTCTGCAAATGAAAAAAGAGCCGCTAAGTAAGTGTTAGAACGTTCCAATTATTTTTTTATTTATTTTTATAAATTTGCAGTGAAGCTTTGGAATTTTTGGTGAATGAAGGACATGCGTATTCAACTATCGATTCCGAACATTTTAAATCTACTGATGGAGATGCAAATTGAAGCGAAGTGAATTTGTTATATTTAAGTTGGATCTGATCATATAATAATATAATAAATCAGGATACTTTTGATTCATATATATTAACTAATTGTTTAACGTTTTATTTGTTATCATTCCTTGAGAAAGTAATACACAGAATAAGAGCTCAAAAAAAAGAGACGGTTTGTGTAGAGTCAAGCACCGAATCGGCGTCTCCTTAATGACACTTCTATTGTACAAAATAGGCGTTGTCTTGTTGATGGGGACAATCGTGCCGGTCGCCGAACGTATGGCCAGCTAGGAAGCTCTGTTAGCAACGCAGTTGCACTAACGAACTGTATGTTTTGAAACGCCTTTTCGCTAAATCGGTGGCTGACTCGTCATAAAACGCTTCGTCTGATGCTGAAATATGGGGATGGGTCAAAAATATTCAGCTCTTAAAGGTGCGTCCAGTCTGCGAACATAGTTTTATTTGTCATTGCGCGAGATACATCCAAATAGGCTGCAGTAGACATTTGCACGTTTGCTAGTGTTGGTAGTTTGGTTGTACTACCTGTAGTTTGGTTGTTTTGAACTATCCAAACTAACTGCTCCAAAACGCGCATTGACTGGGCGCACCTTTAAAAAATGTTAATGTATGAATGATTTATAATTTTTGGATTCAATTTTGTTTTTTGAAATTATATATTAATCCCGAATGTTTCTGAAATGCCAGTATATATTTACTTATGATCATATGTTTTGTATTTCTTAATTTAATAAAAGTATGATAAATAAGTTCTCTATTTTAGTTGTATATAAATGTACCGGGAGTGCAAAAAATAACTGTGTAGCAAGTTAATTATCGAATGTAATACCATAAGATGATTCGGGATTACCAAATAATACTTTTACCTGACACGAAATGCGTTACTCGGCAACATTCGACTCCGGTACGACTCTGAAGGAGAAGTAGTGTTGCCGGTATTGCATTGATTGTCAGGCAAAAGTATTAGATAATCCCAAAACATCGAGTTGTATTCAAAAGATTATACAACGAAATAAAATACATATATATATATATATATATATATATATATATATATATATATATATATATATATATATATATATATATATATATATATATATATCCTTATCTTAAATTTTACCAAATCTTTCTTTTGCCATTTTGTAACAAGAATTGTCGGGATATTTTGTGGAGCTGACAGAACTGACTTCTGAATTAATATTTCAAAAAATGAAAATTACAATATGGCCACCAAGCGATAATCACTTAAATAATTATCACTTATATGATATCACTTATTAATCACATCCTTCTATATAGGAAAAATATACATAGAGTTGTATAATCGAAAAAAGTCAAAGAAAAAAGTTGTTCCAATTTTAATTTTAGGTCTATATACCAAGTTCTATAAATATAGGGTGATTCACTTAGTATGTGAATAGTAACGTAGTGCAAGTGTACGTAGAATAAATTATAATTTTCCTTCGGAAATATAATCGGCCATTGTAGTATATTTTAAATAATATTTAAAACCTATGAAAATTTTAACCTTTTCGCCGTTTAGGGAAACCGGGAAATGTCATAAAGCAATAATATTTAAAACCTGTGAAAATTTTAATCTTTTCGCCGTTTAGGAAATACCGGGAAATGTCATAAAGCAGTCAGCGCAAAAATTCGCTGGAAGTTAGCCGCTGTGTCCTCTTAACGCAGCCATTACAAGTTTGATATTTTAAAAATTAATATTTTTATTTTTCACGATTTAGGGGGCATTAAAGAAAAAAATGGCGTTATAAATTATTCTTGCTAGAATTACTTTGTTTTATGCAAAATACAAAGTGTCGCAATATTCCGTGAACAAACAACTACTATATATTTTTTCAATCAAAATAATCCCATTCGACCTATACAAAACTGTTTCGTTTATCCGTTAGTGGGCATCAAACTTTAAAAATATAAACACATTTTTTAAGATATTTTAAGAACGGTTATTCCGATTTGACTTAGATTTGGGGTGAGTATGTTTGGCTATAGAGTTTTAATATTGGACTTTTCCAAAAATCAAGAAAAAGTACGGGTAAGGTGAAGATTACCTCCACCCTTACATAAATTTTAGTAGAAATGTTTCCAACTCCACTAAAGACTGATTTTTTTTTGTATAATGGTCCTTTTAATATTCAATAAATTTTTTGTCTCTTGTAAAAAAACGATACATACTTTTTGAGAAAAAAGTTTTTCCGAAACTTACTCTTCACATATAGTCTAAGAGCTAGCAACATATTCGAGAAAGTATTTTAAGACGTCTGGCTCTTTGATATATCTTTTATTCTCTCTGGAACAGCGTGCAGGCCGTCTGGCTGCCGATACACGTTGCGTTCACTACTGCGCATCCAAAGAAGATCCTATATTTTTTATTTAGCGCTTTAAATTCTAGTATTGAATAAAAACCGAGTAAGTCTCCATTAGCTCGGGGCGTAGAGCTTTCGCCTATGAAGCGAAGGTCAGTGGTTCGATACCGGCTGGGGGTGTGCAACTTTTTTTATTTTTTTTTTTTCGTTTATATTCTGATAGTAAAGTATTAAATATTTGTTTTTTTATCACCAGAACGGATGGCGTTTATAGGTTTATGATCCATAGTGTATATTAAGTAGAATTTGATACTTTCATTTGTTTTGAAGGATTATTGTGGTAATTAATTATTAGATAGGTTTAGGATGGTCTGGCTGCCGCACCGGTAGGTTGCGTTCACTACTGCGCATCACATGGGTACAGGGTGTCTTATTTTCGTGCGTTTTTTGGGATTTCTCGTTTATGAGTGGAGATACAATGATGCGTTTTTTTCACGTTACTTTGCTAGTTTTTTGTGTAATTAAATATTCTACCCATAGATTTGGGCATTTTCTACACATTAACATTAATCAATCTTGATTAAAAAGTATTGTTATTTTTTCTTATTTAATTTAACCAGATCATTTTGTTTTCCATCGTTATCTCAACAAACTGAACTGAAAATAAACTTTTGTAGCTTTTAGATAACAATCTGTTAAAAAAAGTATTATTAAAATGATTATTAAAATAATAAACAACAGCTGAAAAAAATATTTTGAAGAAAGACAGGCAGAAATTACGTTAATAAAGCATTAAAATGTTAATTTTTATATATTATGTTTAAATCTTTAAAATGAAATTATAAAAGATTTAAATATTTTTATGAATGAGGCAAGAAAAAATTACGGCCAACATTTTTAGTTTTATTTTTTGACATTATGTTTAAATCATTACAATCTAATTATTATGATTGAATTAAATATTTTTATTTAATATTAGTGTTAGCAAATATTTACTACTTTACTATCAGAATATAAACAAAAAAAAAAATAAAAATGTTGCACCCCCAGCCAGTATCGAACCACTGACCTTCGGTTCATTGGCGAAAGCTCTACGCGTCGAGCTAATGGAGACTTGCTCGGTTTATATTCAATACTAGAATTTAAACAGCTAAGTAAAAAAATAGAGGATCTTCTTTGGATGCGCAGTAGTGAACGCAACGTGTATCAGCAGCCAGACGGCGTGCACGCTGTTCCAGAGAGCATGGAGAGCATAATAAAAGATATATCAAAGAGCCAGACGTCTTAAAATACTTGTTTTCCCGACGTTGCTAGCTCTCGTACTAATATGAAATGACAGCGATCTTTATTTCATAGCCATTGCTTACTCCGTTTTTTTTTCGACCATATTGTATTATTTGATAGGAATGTAAAATTAAACAAATACCTATGTAAAAAAATCTTTAATAGTGTTAATATAGTAAGAAAAATTTAAACTAAAATAGAGCCATAATAAATAAATATATAAAAATCTTAGAAAACAATACATTAATATTAAAAGAAATCCAAGCCCATAATCTCAACAACCATGACTACATCAAAATTGCGGTACAAATTAAATCCAAATTGTTAAAAAGCACTGGGAATGTATGATTTGTCTAGATAGAACAGTATAAAGGTAGCACTTTAATTTTAAAACTCAGTCTTTTTACGTACATAAATGATAAAATAATATTTGCTTAATTATTGCTAATCACACATTTTCTATAACTAATATCTTTCGCCCTTTATAAAAACTATAAAAATGTTAAACATGTTGCGCACTTGTGCTAAGCGCGGCGCGTCGAAAAATCAGAACCATGCAAAACCAAGGAACGTTGCTTCGCACTAGTCCGCGGACCTGCATTATATTACATACAATCAATCCAATGCACGGTTTTTCGCCACGCCGCGCTTCGCGTAAATGCATGGCAAGCTTTATACTTTCAGTAACAAATGTATATTATATTTTCCCTAAAAAAAAGATAACATGGAAAAATTTATTTCAATAGACTGAGATTTCTAACGCATAAAAATGACTGTTACTTTCATAACTAATATTAACGTTATAATTGCTTCACAAAGATCAGTGACTTTTTAGAAATTTTAATTAATCAAGCTACTGTATTATTTGCATGTGTGTATAAAAACATAAACTATATTATCTGCTACATATTTTATAATTTAACGTTATTAAATATTGAGGTTATAAGTTACAATATATTTTAATAACAAAAATATATATTTAAAAAATAAGTTGAGTGGTATATTTTGAAAACTTAAATTTTATTTAATTTGCATAGATTTTATTTGGTGAGCATATTATTTATAAAGGACTTTTTTAAATAGTAGTTCCAAGCTATATCATTATAACACAGTGTTGCAATTTAAAATTTTGCCTAAACATTTGACAAATTTCAGCTAGATTCTGGTACATATATTTCAATACTAGGTTGGCTTGATTGTTGAGCAGCTTTCATAGCTTTCCGCCTCTCTTCAATCATTTTTTTTCTCTGTTCTTCCCTCTGTTTTCGAGCTTCCTCATTGGCTGCAGAAGCTTTTGGTTTTGGAATAGCTTTTCGGGGTTTTGCTGCTCCATTAACTTTGTTCTCAACCTTTGTAATTGTATCCTATTAAATAAATAATAATAATCAATTACTTACCAGAAAAAAATATACACAGGGTGGCCCAATGTGCCGAAAAAGCTATACCGGGTGCGACTCAAAAGTAGTGATGGGATAACTCGAGCGAAAATTCGCTCGAGTACTCGATTATTGAAATCGAGTTTAGTACTCGAATATCAGCAGTACTCGAATATCAGCAATCGACATCGCTCGATTACGAACGAGCGATGCAAGTGACGAGTTACGAGCGACGAACACATGCGATCTTAGAATGAAATAAATTGAAATCCGATTTTAATGTGACATACTCGATACAAAGCCCTGCAAATTTTCTATATGCATTGCAGGTAGCAAATTTATACGACGTTATCCGTTGCGTATCCGAGTCACAAAATGTTACGACCTACATCGACAATGCTTTAAAATAAACCAAATCAAGCGAATTACTAGTCGCTTGCTACTTGCCATTCATCACCGAAAGAATATGTGCTCTGCGCAACTTACTCTTGGCGTTAACGAGTTGCCAGTACAACAAGTGACAAGCGACGGGCGAATAAACCGTATGTTTAAACACGAGCGAAATTTCGCTCGAGCGATTGCTCGATTATTGAAATCGCTTAAAACTCGAGTACTCGATTATTAAAATTAATCGTTTTTTTCCCATCACTACGAAAAAGTGGCTCATCCCTATTAACTTTTTTATTTTTTTCAGATAAAAAAACAAATTTGGTTTGTTAGTATAATATGACATAAATTAGGATTGATTGACGTATTCAATTGTTTATGGTCACTTCCTGTTTCACCGGAAATGACTACAACTTTTGATTCTTAAATGGCACCTTTATATAAAATAGCAAAACCATAGTTAAAGCTAAAATGATTTACCTCCTTCCAGTTGTTTTCTTTCAATTTATTAATTTCTTCAAAAAGTTTATCGACTTGATCTACTTGTAAATTAACCATATCCCAAAATCCTTGTAAATCTTCATTTGTTGTTGGGAATGCTTCTCCTTCACTCTGAAAAACCACAAAAATAAGTATAAAAAATAAAATAAAATAAATGATAAAAATATGATACAACCCAGATTTTTCGCCACATATCTACATGTTACTGGGTATGTGTATAGCTTGATTTTCATGCATCCGTTATCCATTGATACGATGGTCCGACGGGGCTCTGATTCCACTTTTCATCCGTAATTTTTTTACTTCAGCCCGTCAACAGAGAAAGTTAAAATAAATTTAACTTTTCATCATTTTTCTTACAATAACGGACGTTTTGACACTTATTTGACAAATTTAATGTAACCCAAAGGTAAAATTATAATATTGGTATATAAATCAAAATATAAGTAAAACAGAGAAATCGTTATGGAAATGAAAATGTAAAATAGCACCAATCACAAGTAATTCGTATATCCGATAAACGGAGGCATGAAAATACGGGGTGCGTCTCAAAAGTGGCTCACCCCCTATAACTTTTTTATTTTTTCAGATAAAAAATTGAGATTTGGTATGTTGTATATGACATAAATTAGGAATGATTGACGTATTCAATTGTTTTCTGTCACTTCCTGTTTCGCCGGAAATGACTACAACTTTTGATTTTTAAATGATACCCTCGATTTTTTGTTGCTTTATTCGATAGAAAATGATACTCTGAATAGAATGACATATCATAAGTCAACTTTGACATTTTCGCATATGGTTTATTGGAAATTATAACATGCGGTTCATAACGATAATTTGACTCGAAATACCAAATGTGTGGTATCAAATTACTCGTAAAAAAATGCTTTTTCCAAATATGCTAATGAGCCACCCTCGTTCCATTTGAAAAAACTGAGATGTGATTAAAAATACGATTTGTGCATCTTTTAACCAGCCAGGACAAGACACGAATAACATTAGACGATTAAATCTATTTTTCCAAAGCTCCTTGAATAAAAATTAGTGTTTTTAACACAGCCATGACACTCTAGATTGAAATTTAAAATTCAATTTTGTTTTAAACAAAAATGTCAAAAGTTGACATATGATAATGTCATTCTATTCAGATTGTCATTTTCTATCGAATGAAGAAAAAAATACCGGGGGTGCCATTTAAAAATCAAAAGCTGTAGTCATTTCCGGCGAAACAGGAAGTGACAGAAAAAAAATGAATATGTCAATCAATCCTAATTTATGTCATATACTAACATACCAAATCTCGTTTTTTATCTGAAAAAATAAAAAAGTTATAGGGGGTGAGCCACTTTTGAGACGCACCCGGTATATAATTTTCTAACCAATCGAAGTCTGTAAAATCAACCAATAAAATTAATATTGTCAGATAACGGATGCATGAAAATCAAGCTAATAGTATGTTATATCAGAGTATGTGGATTTTATGTTATTCGGGATCCCCACCCCTTGACGACTTGTGTAAGCGTAAAAATGAATTGTATATGGTGTATGTTAATCAAATAGTCCAGTAACTGAAGGTTGAAACCACGGCTTAATTCGCCGACCGAGACTTTTCAGGCGAATTGTGCACTTTTTGAGGAGTAGTTTTAGGGGAAAAAATTGTAACACCGTGCTCGACCAGATTTAGCCAATTTGGTATAAAAAAAGCTTGGTAATTACCTACAAAAACGGTTCTTATCCTTTTTTACATAGAATTAGTAGTTTTCGAGATATTACGCCTTGAAGATCCCTGAATTTTTTCTCCAAGTCTTAACGCTCCGGAGATCTAGGGTGTTTCAAACTAAAAATTTCTTATTGTGTTAAAAAGTTGAGAGTACATTTAAAAACAAAAATTTTGGCGCCTAGTAGAACCCTTAATATTAATATTAAGGTTTGCCTCAATTTATTTGTTGTTCTTCCATTTAAATAACACGGATTTTTTTTTTATTTTTGAATTTTAATAATTTCGGAATGGTTTGTTTCCGCAACATCCTCGCGAGAAGATCTATAGGAAATTTCACGCTCTACAAAAAACGTCTGAAGGTCAAAGTTCCTCAGATCAGCCGTCTCAAAGATATCTGCGATCAAAAATAACACCGATCGAAAATTTCAAATATTTTCCAATAAAACTACAAAAAAAATCATACTCGATATTTATAATTTTTCCTGTAAAATCACCTCAATTCTGTTAACCTATGACTGTAACCATTTTTTTTTTGTTAATTTACTCAAGACGTACCTCACAAAATGCACAAATATCGGGTGTATCTCAAAAGCGACTCGCCGCTATAACTTTTTATTATTTTTTTTTAATAAAAAACCAAGATTTGGTATGTTAGTATATGGCATAAATTAGAATGATTGACGTATTCTTCTACAACTTTTGATTTTTAAATGGCACCCCCAATATATTTTTACTTTATTCGATAGAAAATGACACTCTGAATAATCATATGTCAACTTTTGACATTTTCGTTAAAAAAAATCGTATGTATTTTAAATTTCAATCTAGAGTGCAATGGATGTGTTAAAAACACTACTTTTTAATCAAGGAGCCTTGGGAAAATAGATTTGATCGCCTAATGCTTTTCGTGTCTTGTCCGGGCCCGTTATAAGATGCCCAAATCGTATTTTTAATTATATCTCAATTTTTTCAAATAGAACAAGGGTGGCTCATTAGTATATTTGGAAAGAGCATGTTTCTACGAATAATTTGGTGCCACACACTTGGTATTTCGAGTCAATTGTCATTATGAAGCGTAGGTATGTTACAATTTCAACTAAACCCTATGCGAAAATGTCAAAAATTGACATATGATATGTCGTTCTATTCAGAGTGTCGTTTTCTATCGAATAATGTAAAAATATACCGGGGGTGTCATTTAAAAATCAAAAGTTGTAGCCATTTCCCGTGAAAAAGGAAGTGACCAAAAACATTTGAATACGTCAATCAATCCTAATTTATGTTATATACTGTTACGTTTTTCGTCGGTTCCGTGTGGATAGAAAGTCACAATTTATTTAAACACTATTTATTTAACACTAATTAACAAAAACAATAACGATAAAAGACTTATAGAACTATTTACAAACGATTTATAACTAAGAATTTATTTTGAATTTTAGCGCGTCAACTGTATATTTATAACTGCCCTCTCTAGACCACAGCCGCCGGCTTTTATATCTACAGCAAAAGAAATCTAGAATAGTCCATAGATCGTTAGGTGCATAGAGAAAGTTTTCGAATGTTCTCGTATGTACTAGTCCATTCCAGTGGGACTCGATTCTTCTCGAACGAATGAATCATTACGGTGTCTATTCTTTAATGCGATGTTAAGGTCATCTGAGGGCGGAACATATAGTTAGGTTAGGTCGAGTCCACACGGGTCCGCAATACTGCCCCCTTCTTAGGTACATGCTCGTCCCAAGATGTACACGGTGAGTGAAGGTATTTGCAAAGCTGGCCCCTGGTACATTGAGAAGTCTGGTAGAAATAGCAGTCTACAGTTTTCTCTCCCGATCTCAGCTTTGGGTTGTAGCAGTAAACGAGGATCTCGATTCCCGTAAATCTGAACAAGACTTCAATCATGTTCCGGATTGTACGCCAACTCAAACCATCGAGTCTACACGCCAGCTTCGGAATGGCTAATCGTGTAATGTTGTTGTTTAGCAGGGCTTCTCTCAGTTCAATCAGGGTCTTCCATAGATTGAGATAAGTCGGCTTACTTGAGGACCATTCCTTGGTGACTAGGTAGAAAATGTGCCTTGCTTGACCATGTTCATTGTCGGTTAGCCTCAAGTCGGCGTAGTTCTCCGACACGCCCAAACTTCTCATTGAACGTCGCAGCGATTCCTCTGGACATCCGCAAATCTCGGGCCACACAATGAGCGAGCGAATAATCAGGAGGCACGGAAAAGAGGTCTCGTTGATCTTCTTTGGTTACACCATAGCGAGCCTTTTCACTGCTGTTGTATCGGGCCATGAAATCGTCAAAGGACATCTCCGAATCAGGGGGATCAAAGCTGCAGGTTCTCACGATCCCAGCACGATCTTCTATTTCGCCTTGGTAGGGGCTCAAACGGTTGAAATGGACTACCCTCGGTTTTCCTTTTGGCAATTTTCTGATACGGTATACGACGTCATTAATCATATCCATGACTTCGTATGGCCCTTCCCACGAGGATTGTAGCTTCGGAGATAACCCACGACGTCCCTGCGGGTTGTATAGCCACACCAACTTCCCTGGTTGGTATCCTCCATGCTCAGCTTGAATGTCGTAGTGCTCCTTCATTCGGTCACTAGCGTTTTGAATATTTAGGCGGACTCGCTGATGGATGTCGTCCATCCTTTGCCGTAGTCTATGTACATAATCTTCTCCGGCGATATCTTCTCCCGGTCGGCAACCAAACTTCAGATCACAAGGTAGGCGCACTTCCCGTCCCATAACGATGCTGGCTGGAGTTTGCCCTGTGGATTCTTGGACGGATGAACGATAGGCCAACAGGAACAGGTGAAGAAATTTGTCCCAGTCTCTTTGGTGGTCAGAGACTACTTTGGCCAAATAACGGTTGATGGTTCTGTTCATGCGTTCAACCATCCCATCGGATTGTGGATGCAGAGCAGTCGTCCTGGTCTTGCGGATGTTAAGGACCTCACATACGCCTTGGAACAGATTGGACTCAAAGTTTCTTCCCTGATCTGAATGAAGCTCCATGGGAACACCAAACCTGCAGATCCATTCTTTAACAAGGGCATCAGCAATGTGGACAGTGGACGCTTCTTGAGTTGGCCTCGACCCATTTGCTGAAGTAATCCATTACGATCACAATTTATTTGTTGCCATCGTTCGTCTCCGGGAAAGGACCAGCCACGTCGATCGCTATTCGTTCGAAAGGACAGCCTACATTGTACTGGCGCATTGGAGCTTTACCACGCTTTTGTGGTCCATTGATAGCAGCGCAAACGTAGCATTTCTTACACCAGGCCCTCACGTCTTCTGTGCAGTTCACCTAATAGAACCGTTCACGCAGCTTGCCAATGGTCTTGCTAACACCAAGATGTTCACCGCTGGTTCCATTGTGAACTTCCGCCAAGACTTCCGGGACCCTCTCCTTTGGAATGACGGTCTGCCTTCTCTCTTCTTGTCCCTCTGGTCTCTCAATCACACGGCGAAGTAATCCGTTATCTATTACCAACGAATTCCACTGGGACCAGTACGACTTCACGTTCGGCGAATATCTGCAAACTTCCTCCCACGTTGGTCTCTGGTCCGCGTTTTTCCAGTTAATCACCAAGCCCAACTCTGGATCGCTGATTTGGTCATTTGCAAGATCTTCGGTTTGCCAACTATCCCCAACCACGGTCGTCCTTAAGACTTTCACTTCTTTCTCTTCTTTGCAACGATTTCCCATCTCTCCGCAATTCCAACAGCGAATCGGTCCCCCTTCTTGCTCATATACTGATCCAGTACTTTCCGCACAATCCTTTCCACTTTGGAATCGTCGGTTTGGAAAACACTCCTCAACAGCTCGTACAAATCCTAGAGACCTAGAGCATTCTTTCGCGGCCTCAAATTCCAGGGCACGTGCTAGGGCATCTCCCAAACACGTTGGATGAGCTAAAAGAAGTGTTTGCCTTGTCTCGTTGTCACGTAAACCATCAATAAAAGCCTGTACTTTTAAGCGCTCCATAACATTTTCGGGCATAGCAGGGTACGCAAGGCGCACGAGGCGGGCTACGTCGGCTTCAAACTCCTGCAGAGACTCATTTTGAATGCGATTTTTGTTTCAAATGAACTTGGCCGTACCTCATTTCTAAATGTCGCACCAATTGCTGAAATCCCTGTTCCGATGGTGACAGTGTCTGCAGGATATCCGTCGCATCTCCTCGCAGTGCGACAGTCAAAGCGGTAGCCTTTTCAGCGATTGTCCATCCGTTCGCTCTCGCAGCGGCCTCAAACTGGCAAAAATAATTGGCCCAAGCGGTTTTTCCGTCAAACCGTGGAGGTTTCATAACTGATTTTGAGGTATACCTATTTTCGACTAGTTTCGGTCCCTCCGATGTTTCTTGACATTTTGGTGAATTTGACTTCGTTATTTCGTCCCGTAAAATTTCGATTTTTCTGTTTACATCGTCCTCAATTTGTGTTATTTTGTCTTGTAGTTCCGTAGAATTCTCTATAATCTTATTGTTTAAACTTTCTTCTAAATTAATTATTTTATTATTAAAGCTGGCCTGTATATCTTTAGAATATGATCATATCTTCTAATCTTTGGGAATTTTCTGTGATTTTATCTTCTAATTTTTGGGAATTCTCACTGATTTTATTATTTAAACAATTCAAATTGTCGTTTAAGTTTTGTAAGGACGAGTCAAGGTCACCTTCCAGCTCAAAGCAAAATGTGTCAGGATCCTCATATTCCTCAATCACAACGTCTCTCAGTCTGGCTTGTAAAATGCTTTTCTTTCCATCTGTTTCGCATTCCCTCTCTTCCAGTACGCATTTTAATTCCGACACTTTCAAGTCTTTCAACAATTTTTTCGTTGCCATTGTCTGTCTTTTTATTTTCCTAGTCTATCACACACGCCACACTTGACACCAATTGTTACGTTTTTCGTCGGTTCCGTGTGGATAGAAAGTTACAATTTATTTAAACACTATTTATTTAACACTAATTAACAAAAACAATAACGATAAAAGACTTATAGAACTATTTACAAACGATTTATAACTAAGAATTTATTTTGAATTTTAGCGCGTCAACTGTATATTTATAACTGCTCTCTCTAGGCCACAGCCGCCGGCTTTTATATCTACAGCAAAAGAAATCTAGAATAGTCCATAGATCGTTAGGTGCATAGAGAAGGTTTTCGAATGTTCTCGTATGTACTAGTCCATTCCAGTGGGACTCGATTCTTCTCGAACGAATGAATCATTACGGTGTCTATTCTTTAATGCGATGTTAAGGTCATCTGAAGGCGGAACATATAGTTAGGTTAGGTCGAGTCCACACGGGTCCGCAACAATACTAACATACCAAATCTCGTTTTTTTATATGAAAAAATAAAAAAGTTATAGGGGGTGAGCCCCTTTTGAGACGCACCCGGTATATAAATAATATTTATATATTTGTGAGTTTTGTGAGGTACGCGTTGAGTAAATTAACAAAAAGAAAATGATTACAGTCATAGGTTAACAGAATTGAAGTGATTTTACAGGAAAAATTATATAAATATCGAGTCTGATATTTTTTTGTAGTTTTATTGGAAAATATTTGAAATTTTCGATTGGTGTTATTTTTGATCGCTGATATCATTGAGACGGTTGATCCGAGAAACTTTGACCTTCAGACGTCTTTTGTAGAGCGTGAAATTTCCTATAGATCTTCTCTCGAGGATGTTGCGGAAACAAACCATTCCGAAATTATTAAAATTCAAAAATAAAAAAAAATCCGTTATTTAAATAGAAAAACAACAAATAAATTGAGGCAAACCTTAATATTAATATTAAGGGTTCTACTAGGCGTCAAAATTTTTGTTTTTAAACGTACTTTCAACTTTTCAAAACCATAAGAATTTTTTTTTCATTTTGAAACACCCTAGGAGATACATTTCATAAGCGTATCACTGATTGATAGGACAAATTGTTTAATAACTCGGCTATTTTAAATTTAAGATTTTTTGATGATTCAAAGTTCATTTAAAAGGTATCAGGTTAAAAACCTATTCCATTTTTACAAACTTATTCGTATTTTCAGTAATAATAGCTCATTTGTCAAGATTTTTTTCTGTGTGTTCCAGATATCACAAGCATTGCCATACACAGTTTTTATTAGTCATGTTCCACAAAGCTATTCCATTTTTACAAACTTATTCGTATTTTCACTAATAATAGCTCATTTGTCAAGATTTTTTTGTTTGTGTGCCAGATATCACAAGCATTGCCATACACAGTTTTTATAAGTCATGTTCCACATGACTTATAAATAGAGACCCCTAGACCAGTGTTGCCAACTCTCCTCGCAACTATCTGAAAGAGAATTTCCCACGAAGACGGTCAAAATTACCCCCGTTTTTCTAAAAATTCCCAAGAATTACTCAAAATTAATTATATCGTCGTCGAGAGACAATATTCGGTGGGAGGGGGGTTCTTGTTGCTGTTTACCCAATTTGGTGAATACAATATATCTTTTTGCGAATAATACATGAACTGTAAAATTTCCATTTTTCCCCTGGATATTCAGCTGATTTACCACTCTAACATAGTTATGTATGCTAATTTGCTGACGATACTAATTACTTCACATTTTTGATTTTTTTGGTTCGAACTCAACTTGGCAAAAGGTAAATAAAGCTTTAGACCTAGTATTAAAATATACAAAATTTTATTCACTAGACATTAATCTGGATAAAACTAAAACTTCTATTTTTTAAAACTTCTATTTTTTACATGCAGTATTATTTTGTTTAAGATTTCACAAACATTATATTTTAATGTATATTTAAGTCTAATCATTATTAAATAAATGTTTTTTAATATAAATATTATGTTGTTTTACTATTCTCAATAGAAATTAATTTAAGCTCCTAGCTCCAGTTAGTCTTAAGTTTAGCTATTAGAACTTGTAGCTTAATAGTTGTAAATCAGATTATAAAAATGGAAAGAACAGCGATTCAAATAAAGGCGGTTAATGATGTCTGTAATATAGATTTCTTTAATGTGTAAAAAACTATTCCTTCTCCTACTAGATGCCGCTAAAATACGGCTCCTAAAATAGCATGTGAGTGGGCAATCTAAAGTTATCTAGGGCTAACTACTCTATCAGCTGACGTCTTTCGGCAATGTAGATGCGAGGGTTTTGATGTAGTAAGCAATTTTTTCGTTTGCAGAGTAAAACTTTGTCCCGGTAGGTTTTACAGATTTGCTACTGAAAAATTCAATTGTAGAGAATTGAATTCTCTTCGTTTTTTGTTCCATAAAATTTTATATTTAGCCCACTTACGACTGGCAAAGCATGAGAGCGGCGGTAATTTAATGAGAGTCTAGACCTTTTTTGATGCAGATTGACTGTACTATATTCTACAATTTAAATAATAAAAACAAAAGTATGACATAATCCATACCTGAGTTATATTATTTGTACAGAGCCCCTTGAATTGTTGCATCTTTTGAGACACCAACAGTCTTGCTTTTCCAGACGCAGATCTAAGTTTCCCAATAACTTCTTCTGAGAGGTTTGGTGTATTCAGTTCGTTTTCAGCCTTATCGGCTAATTCCAATAATCTGGCGGTTTGCTCTTCCAGTATTCTAATAAAATAATGCCCATCCTTCTCACCTACAGCAAAAAACCTCGTACAATACCTTAAAATCACTTCGGACAGATTCATTTGCATTTTACATAAAAAATATCTTAAATAATTGGTTACATAGTATGTTACACTGACTAGTTTTGTGCTAAAATTAATTTTAGATATGTAATACATGTTGTCATTATTTTTCTAAAAAAAAATATGAAAATTTTCCGTATATAAACAAAATTGAAAAAAACTTGTTTATTTGAAGGTTATCACTACTGTCAATACAACAATAATAAACAGTTTGGTTGCAGTTGCCAATTCAATTACACCTTCAATTTTTGGTAATATATAGGTAATAATTTTATATACAAATAAACAAAAATTACCACAAATTTCTTTTCTAAAAACAAATTGAGTAGAATATAGCATACCGGGTGTTGCATCGTCGGACGGGACATAGGAAATCCCATGTAAATTTTAATGGGGTCAGCAATTGGCTTCCCCAATTATTTTAGAGAATAATTCTATTTAGGTTTATTGAAGAGCACTAAAACCCACATTCAAAAGAATAACTTTAGATATTTTTGATTAGCTCGTTTACGAGTCATCGCCGATTTCTTTTTAAATAGTTCTCCTTTCTTATGGCCCTGTATTTACTTATCAGCACCAGTCAAGGTAAAAGATAACTGTCAAATGAAGTTGTCATTTCAGAAATTTACCTATTTAGTGCTTTATTATTATTGAAAACTCATTCCTACATCGGAAATCTTAAAGATGTATTTATAAATACAAATTAATATGAATTAAAGTAAAATAAAGTAATCAGTTACAAGGTTAATTATAGTATTATTACAATATTCAATAACCTATTAATTTGGGTACTATTAAATTGTTAGAACTTTAGGATTTAAGATGTTCAAATATTCCTCCATTGACTGCTAGACAATAACCCAGGCGATCATAAAATTCTCTTCTTACATTCGCTAGTTGGTAAACTGAAATTCTATTGCATTCGGCAGAAATAGCATTTTTTAACTCGTCTAGAATTGGGTATTTTTTATCCTTGTATATCATGTTTTTTAAATGGTCCCAGAGAAAGAAATCATTTGGCGAAATATCAGGAGACCTTGCTGGCCAATTTACTGTATGATTTAGGCCAATAACGTTTCCGTTAAAACTATTGTCTAAATATTCCCGAACAGCCAGGGTACTATGTGCCGGGCAGCCATCCATTTGGTACCAAACTTCCTGATTTTCCCTAGCGGCATAATGTAAAGCAGGTAAAATATGATTTTCGAGTAGTAATATTCTGCATTTAAATTTCGCGTAAGAAATAATGGTCCGATAATATTGTGTCCGAATATCCCTGCCCAAACACTGTGGATATTGCGTCCTTGTTTCGACAAACCTGTATTAGCTTTCTTTGTTCCAATATCAATAATTTTGAACATTGGGTTCATTATTTAAGGTAAACGACCATTCGTCAGTAAAACATATGTTTTTTAAAAATCCCCTATTCGTGTTTGTTCTTTCCATCATATCAAAACAAAACGCCTGCCGCCGTATTTCGTCCCCATCTCGTAGCTCTTGGTGCTTTTCATATTTACTACTATTAAGGAATAGTATTTATGTCGTTTCAAAATTCGAAGCGCTGTAGTCCTCAAGTTTCCTATTATTTTCATCCTCAAGTTTCCTTGTGCTGATCTTTCCATCATTCTTTTCCACGCACAATAAAACTTCCAAGTCGGACTTCCAATCATTTCTTACATCCTCTCTTTGTTCCTGCCTTGCTTCACATTTCACATCTGCAGTTATTCAAATTTCTGGATCGGTCTCAAATCTCTGGATATTCCTTGCGATTGTAGATTTTTCAGGTAGCGGTCTATTTGGATACAGAGCAGCAAACATGTCCGACACCTTTTGATAAGTATTTCCTTGAAATACGCTTGTTTATATATTCTTAAAGTTGTTCAACCGACTAGACAAAATGTGCTGTCAACTGGAGGACAAATCGTGAACCTTTCGGGGCGGAGTCAAAAATATCGATTATTTTCGTTATTTTCCTCAGAGTAATGTAATAATATAGCCCGGATTTCTGCAAACTTTAATAATGATCAGCTGATTAAGAAATTTAAACGAAACTTTTATTTTATTGTAAATTGTGGATTATTTTTGCCTGTTATTTTAAGAATTCTAAACCGTATTAACATACAACCGTACAACATATCGAAATAATGATTTCTTTCATAATTTCGATATGTTGGTACATTATTTATAATTTATGATAATGCTAATTGCTGTTAATTAATATTTAAAAAAAAGTTACATACATATTTTAATTTGATTTAATGCAGGTTTATAAAAGAATCATTTCATTCTTAGATTATTTTATTCTAAATTGAGTGCTTTACGAATTTGACGATATTTTTTTTTTGAAAACATAAAACTTTTTACATTTTTGATGCCAACTAATTGGCATGGTATTATTGGTATGGGAATGAGCCAAGAAAGAAAAGAATTGGCTATAACTTGTAATTTTTCGAAAAAAAACATATTATACCTATATAGCTGAAAAGCTTAAAGAATGGCGCTTTTTATGAAGTCATGGCCAACTAGGATTTCCATTTAAAAAAAAACATAATGTTTGTGTCATATGTCAAAAATTACAGGCATTCGAAAAAAAAACAGAAAACACAAACTCATTAGGTATGTGATTATCTACAACTTTTATCTGAAAACTTTTTGTCTAAAATACCATATGATCGAATAAAAACGGCGTCAGCGATGGCTATGAAATGACGATCGATGATAATATCCATATAATTTTACATATAAAATGACAACGATCTTCATTTCATAGCCATCGTTGACGCCGTTTTTATTCGATCATACGGTAGATTATAATGGAATTAGAGACAAGTTTTAAAATAGTCAAAATTTGTGTTTTTCGAAATATATAGTAAGCCAAGAACTTTTTCAAAAATCTGAAAGGCGCATATTTATGACCCCACAAAACTGCAATTCTTTCCCCATTTAACCGACTCTCTATCTCCAGTAGTTTCCGAGATACCCACAGAGAACATCGTAGGAAACTCATCCTGTATAGTATTTAGAAACTAACTATTATTTTTATTTGACTAGATTAATTTGATTAATAAGACTCGATTAATTTAATTTAAAATAAATTTGATCAGATTTTTTTTTCGTATATTCTACTACCAGAAAACCAAAATTATATGATAACGTACTTTTCAACGAAGTTGAAGGAATATATAGCGTATCAGCGTATCTATCACAATACTTAATAGAATTACTACAATTAGAAGAAAAACAAAAAGAAAAAAATACCCAAATATCTTCACCTACTACTCATCTACAAAATAAACGAATATAATCCCTTATAAAAACACTACACAACTACTTCTTGTATTTTACACTGAAAAAATTATAAACTTACTAATTAATCAAACAAAAAGAAAAAATAACCAAATTATCCCTTCACCTACTACTTAACTACAAAATAAATAAACTATAAAAACACTACTAAACTATTTCTGGTATTCTACACTAAACATTATAATTAAACTTAATAAAATTAATATAATTTTACACTACAACCACTACAACTATAAAGAAATAAGAACATTTTTTAAAACTAGAAGAAACAGAACTTCGATACGTGCGACCAATATAATAGATCAAGCGGACAAAGAATATAAAACACTTTAAAAATGTGCATTCAGAAAGAAAAACTATCTCGAAAATTATCTAAACACATTTTTTTTTCTTATCAGTGAAAAGCATCGGCCTTGCGGAATTTGTCGGGTATTTACAATGGTCGAATTGTATAATTACCAGCTTTTATAGCATATCTAATAGACAAAAAGTATCTGGTCGATTAGTAACCAATTGGCACGGTCCGAAAATTATCGATTTTTATTTTCTCTGTTTTTATTGGTCGCTTCAAAATTCAGAGTAACAAAAAATATTTTTCTGTAGTAAAAGACTGTGAAATACGCCCCGCCATCTGGTGCTTTACATCCATAAACGTCTTATGTTGAGCTACTTTAAAAATTCATATACAAGGATAATACCATTCAATCATCAATACTTTTTCTTCGGTAGTGTAATTCATGGCTAATATTTTCGATGTAGGAGTTTTTAATAATAATAATAATAAAGCACTAAATAGATAAATTTCTGAAATTACAACTTCATTTGACAGTTATCTTTTACCTTGACTGGTGCTCATAAGTAAATACAGGGCCATAAGAAAGGAGAAATATTTAAAAAGAAATCGGCGATAAGTCGTAAACGGGCTAATCAAAAATATCTAAAGTTATTCTTTTGAATGTGGGTTTTAGTGCTCTTCAATAAACCTAAATAGAATTATTCTCTAAAATAATTAGGGAAGCCAATAATTGACCCCCTTAAAATTTACATGGGATTTCCCTGGGATTTCCTATGTCCCGCTCGACGATGCAACATCCGGCATATTAGCTGAGAGAAAAACGGCCTACACGCGTAACGATTTATCGTACTGCGCGTTGAACTGCAGATGGTAAAGAAAATCGTACGGCTTGCAGTACAGCCATTTTTTGTACACACGATGCAACACATTGTACTGCCGCAGTTCAGATTATTCACTTTTCGTCGTGAAGGGCTACCGTTATGTCAAGAATTTCAAAGAAGAAAGCTGCCGTGCTTGTAGCTGCGATATTGCTGATAGATGAAGATGATGAACAAAAAGAAATCAAAAAGCGAAATGGTGTAAAAAGTGGTTGCAATTTTTTTTTTTCATTTTATTTGCATAATCTTTTGATTTCACGTCCCATAGGCATCTATTTTCTCTATATAAATCAATAAAGTCTTCCCAGAACGTCTAATTTTTTAAATCCATAATATTGATTAAACCAAAAATAAATAAAAATTATATCGTAACTGCGCGCTGCGGCAGGGAATACATTCCACGCGTTCAAACCCCACCCCAGACACGACCCGTTGATACGATATTTTACGGAAGCTCCGTACTGCAAACGATTTGACGACTGCATACTGCAAACCATCCAATTTCCCTACACACGCTACGATTTATCGTTAATGCGGCAGTTTCGATGGATATCGTACATCGTACTGCATGCAGTACGATAAATCGTTACATGTGTAGGCCGTTAAAGATAAGTGTTCTGTTATTCCAAAAAAGTTGATTATGTAGTATGTAGATAAAAAGAAAAAAAATTAGAAATTGAACATATAAATCGGAACCACTGAAAATATTTAACCAGAATAGATTTCTTTTATATAATTATGATCAGAATATCAGGAATTAAAAATCTTGTAATAATACATATATGGGATATTTTTTTATTCAAACAACCAGATAGTGAAATTGCCTTCGAGTATCCAATCATTAAGAAAAGCAAGTTGACGGTACTAAAAAACGATATATCGCCTAAAAATGGCAGTAAGTCACACACAGTTACATACGAAAATCTGTTAGTTACATATAGTCATGTAATTGGAGTATTTATATGTATAGTGAGAGACACTATTTTTGCACATTTTTATAAAATATACGGGGTGTATATCAAAAATGGCTCACCCCTGGAACTTTTTTTTATTTTTTTCAGACAAAAACGAGATTTGGTATGTTAGTATATGACAAATTAAGAGTAATTAATGTATTCAATTGTTTTTGGTCACTTCCTGTTTTACCGAAAATGACTTAAACTTTTGATTTTTAAATAATCAAAAATACTTTATTGGATAGAAAATGACACTCTGAATAGAATGACATATCAAATGTCAACTTTTGACATTTTCGCATATGATTTTGATTTTTGCAATTGAAAAATGGAAAATGCGATTTATAACGACAATTTGACTCGAAATATCAAATGTGTACCAAATAATTTGTAAAAAATGCTTGTACCAAATATGCTAATTGAGTAAAAAAGAGCCACCCTTGTTCCTGGAAAAAATTGATATATAATTAAAAATACGATTTGGACATCTTTTAACTAACCAGGACATCACACGAAAAATCAAATCTACTTTTTCAAGGCTCCTTGATTAAAAATTAGTGTTTTAACGCAGCCATGGCACTCGAGTGAAATTTAAAATACGATTTTTTTAAAGCAAAAATGTCAAAAGTTGACATATACATATATGTCATTCTAGTCAGAGTATAATTTTCTATCGAATAAAGTAGAAATATACCGAAGGTGAAGGTGCCATTTAAAAATCCAAAGTTGTAGTCATTTCCGATGAAACTGGAAGTGACCGAAAATAATTGAATACGTCAATCAATCCTAATTTACTTCGTATATTAACAAACAAAATGTCATTTAACTAACATAGCAAATGTAGTTTTATCTGAAAAATTAATAAAGTTATAGGGGTGGGCCACTTTCGAGACGCACCCGGTATAATTCATTTAACAGCACATTACGAATAAAAACTTGAATAAAAAACTATGCGACCACGTTTTGCATTAAATTTCTGCATTTGTAGAGCATGGGTCAAAAAACAAGAGCAAAAAATGGAAAATAATTCTTCTAATTTTTTTTTAATAGGAATCTATAATTTTAACAGTCCACAGGTACTTGTATTTTGTCGCAAACTGCAACCAGTAATAATTCGATAGCATAAACGTGACAAATTAGTAAATAAAAAATAGAAAAATACTCACTAGATGAACATTCATCATTAATAGGCACTTCAAGGATTTTTCCATTTTGCAGACTCACAGATGGTTCACTTAAAAATTCCTCACTTGGTTTATGATGGCCATTCACTTTCACTTCATCCGTTAATTTAGGAACTGTAACACTTTTTTGTATCGAAACATCTTTGGTCTTTTTCGAGTTAGCGATAGGCAACTGAGCTCGAAATTCGGGTCTTAAATGACGCAACACCGGTAAAGATGGACTGCTCAAACTCTGCTTCATCGATGGCTCCACATCGTCATCTAAAAATTTGTCAGGCAACGTTTTATTATGCGCGTCCCTATCTTCTTTATCCGTAGTATCTTCAGATTCGGACAGGGGATTCTTCTTCCTTTTAGATACAAAGAAACCTTGTGCCAAAGCTCCAGGTCCGTACAGTCTTTCCACTCTCTGTTGTATAAAAGATTTAGTTTCTTTTCCATTAGTGTACTCTTTGCTTATGGTGGTACTCTCGATGTTGCATTTGTTTTGTTCCGATAATCCACTTACCTTTTTGCTTTCGTAAGTCATACACTGTCTTTGGATCGTGTGATGAGAGTTACCTATGCACCCGTCTGTTGTGTCTTTTGTAAAAATATTAGATGAGAAATGAGACTCTTTGCTACTCATAAACGTCATGGTCTGTGTGGAATTGTAAAATTTTTGGGTGTGATGGGTTTGGAGGGCGTTCTCTGTCATGTTTGTCTTCGGTGTAGGAAGAGGCACTAGGTTTAGCGGTGACAGAAGATTATTGGTGACACTGTACGTTGGCTGAGGGGGTGTCAAATGACTTCCAGTATCGAGGCGATGAGGCGAAGCATCTCTGGATCTAGCCAACCGGACGGGGTCGTAGTTTGTGGTAGTAGAGTAACCATTAACGGTGCAGGCCAAACTCAAGTACGATGGCAGATGATGCTGTTGTAGGTCAGCCGGCGTCAAGACACTTGCACTGCGCAACGTTCCGGTGGAAGATACCTCGGACCAATCTGAAATAACGCAATAATATGAAAATAAAATAATGTGACATTTATTTAAGGTAATCTCGCTGTAGGTTATTCAACCTTGACTCGACTAAACTACCACGCCTACTAATATGCTAATCGAAAAGTTTGAAAGAGAAATTTTTCTATTTATAATTGTAGATCAGATTTCGTATGGCGCTGGGTACAAATATTTATGGAAATTTCAAAAAAAATCTTCACACAATGCCTACAAAAAGTGCCATTAACTATAAAACCTTTGCATTTATTATACCAATTTAAAACTTCACATAATAATGAATTACAATCTGTGTAGCATTATTTTCTACTTATTAAAAATATATACCTATATTTTATACCATTTGCAAACAATGCTATACTTATTTGTATTACCTAATTTCTAATAAACTAATTTTCATTTCAAGTCAAGAATTAACAACAAATAATATTTAAAAAAACGAATAACATGCATGTACTTCTTGGATAAATAAAAATTGACTAAAAATCAACCAAAGTTTGATTGGGAGTAAAATAATATTGCTACACAATATTCAATGAAATAACTTGACAAATACATTTAAAATAATAAAGCCATTTTTAACTATTATTAATAATAATATTTATATAATACAATTACCAGTTAAAACATCAATATACTGTCAAAACAAATAAAGGTTGCACAAAAGTAAAATTGAAGAAACAAAAAATAGCCAAACACAGTACTGCCGATATTTAAAACTACCTACAATAAAACTAGACGGAATCGACCCGTTCATGCAAAATGAATGTCTCATATCCTAAAATACCAACCTTTAACACAAGCGCGGTCACAAATGTTAATGTTGATAATTTAAGTATTAAAATGCGTGATCATTTAACATTGGTTGTTAAACAAGACACTGAAAATTAATAAAGTTATCAATTCTTACAATGTTGATAACATTTTAGTAATGTTATTATAATAATTATATAAAATATAGTTAAAAAATAATATTTACACATTATGTATTTAATATTTTAAATGTTTACATAAATATATTTTAAGTCAATATAGATATACAGGGTCCGGCAATAGTGCGTCGGGCATCTTTAGCTTCTAGAATAAAAAACTTGAGAATTTTGTTTCAGTGTAAACCTAAACTATGTACAAGGATGCATTTCAGGAAAATATTTTAACTTCTATAGGGTGGCTCAAAAAAGTGTGAGTGGATAGGGATGATTTTTTTTTAAATACCATTTAAAAAACCAAGAAAAATTATTTTATATTTTAGAAAGTTTAGCGAAAATTTTGAACATCCTGTATGATATACAATTACCATATTTATAGCACAGTAAGTACAGACCATCTAATGTAAATATCTTAATATAGTTCTGATTTCAGGACATTTCTTGTATTTTTAATAATTATTTTAAGAAAGGCTGAAAAAAATATATTTTTTATTTATTTATTAATATCTTAGGATTATGTAAAGTGATCTGAAAAGAAGCCAAAAATGCAATAATATACAGGGTTTTCCATTTAAAAAAAATCATCCCGATCCACTCACTTTTTTGAGCCACCCTATAGAAGTTAAAATATTTTCCTGGAATACATCCTAGAACATACACACATAGATTTGCACTTAAACAAAATTCTTAAGTTTGTTATTCTAGGAGCTACAGATGCCCGACGCACTATCGCCGGACACTGTATAAGTCAAGAGGCCATTAAAGCTGAGGATCGCGGTTTAGATCACGAGTAAAATACTAAGTCCCGTCTAGTTTCCCTAGTTAAATAGTAAAAAGAGGCGTAACTATTTTTTATAATATTTTTATGAAAACCCTACCTAGTTACAATTTTAAGTATATATAAGTAGGTATTTTATCTTTTATGTACTATTTTTTTCAAACTTCAAGCAACAAAAAAGAGAAGTAGATGTTATAAAGTACATAACTGCGATATCGAGGTAGTAGAAGTATCAAAGAATACATGACAAATTAAAAAAAAACAATGCAGATTGATTTATTGACACTTCTAACACAGTACTACTAGCTTAAGCGGGCCACTCATGGTACTGCGCCGTCGTGTCGTACGACAGAGTAAAAATGTCAAATATTACGTGGTATGACAGAGTAAAATGGCAAAATTTTTAGCTGTCAATAGGGCATAATGGGCATATAGCAAATTTGTACCGACGAATATATCTACCGCGGGGTTAACAAGGGCACGGTAAACTCGTCGGTACAAATTTGCGATATCTACCCTATAACCTATGCCTATAACCGATTGATAACTATGACAACAACAATTAACATATTTTTACTATACAGGGTCGCTTTTATGTATGGAAACCAAATGGAAACGGTCGATTAGTAGGTAAAATATAGGAGGTACCGCAAAAAGTTAAATACAAAAGTTATAGGGTTCAAATATCTATTAGCGAGTAATAAATTTAAGTATACAGGGTCGTTCATAAACTCGGGGCAGATCAGATTCGTTTTTATATAATAATAACGATGAAAACTAGTTTGCAACTTTTGTTTCAAAATAGTCGAAAGTGAAAACAAATTGACTGAAAAATGTCTGAAGTTGGTTAAAAAAAGAAAAAATACTCGTAAAATGTAAAATTAAAAACGCAACTTTTTGATATAAAGTTTTTCAAAATTCGGCCAATAAATCCATTTTTAGTCATTTGTAATAATTGTCATATAATAATGTCATTATAATATAATGAAAATACCCAAGGGCAATAGGTAAGAATTTATTATCATTTTTAAAAACTAATGCTAAAGTCAAATTTAACCTAAATAAATTAATAAAAAAATCCTATATGATGCGAACTAATACAAAAATATATGTAGCACTGTACCTATAAGCTCAACATAATGATATCCGGAAAGATAGATACAAACAAGGTAACCTGATAAAAAAGTTTTAAAAAATACAAATTTCTTAAGAGTTAACTTTTATTAATTATTGTAAAGTGTAAAACACTTGCTAGAAGTATTATAAACATTGTCAAGATATTTATCCTTTTAGTTTATTATTTTTTTAATGTAATAATAACTAAAAAATGTACTGTCATAAAGAACATTCATTTAATTAAATTTTATAGCTAATGCGTGTCTAGAAACATTAGATCATTCTACGTTTCAAAATGTAGATGGTAATATCTAACACATTTTTTATAGTTTTAGTTCAATATTTTACTTTTTCTTTCCAAATGTTTAATAATGTAACGTGATGAATAAATAATACCAATACTTTAAACTCAATTAAAGTAGGAACTTAATAAATATATTTACTATAACATTAAATTTATTGATATACTTCAATAAATAGCCTTATGATGAAGATATGTGACGATAGATAATTCTTTAACAATAATGATATTTTTTTAATTATTTAAATGCTTGACTGTAAAAATCAATGTTCTCGCTTGTTCATTTTTTTTGATCATACGACATCTACACAATAAGATAGTACAAATTAACGTACCTATGATAAAAAAACTGCGCCACAGTAGCTTTTGAAGTTACAACCGATAATAATTTCTGTCGAGTCAACCCTTAAGCTAGATTATCACTTGAAACTGCGCGAAGCTGTTTAGCGCATTTTGTATATACGTAGGCTTCACAAAAATGCAACAATTGATAATTTTGCATTATATATGCATACATTTTATGTGGAAATAAGGTAGAAAGCTAGTGGAATGTTAATATAAATAATTTGTATGCAGTTAAGTTCAGTGGCGTTTCCTAGCACGTTTATCGCCCTCTTCGATTCTTTTTAGTCAATAAAAAATAATCACCGAATGCAAAAAACTGTTGCGATATTGTAAAATAAGTTTCATATTTTTGGTTTAGTTAAAATTTTGAAAAACTCTTATTTCGAACCTGTTTAGCATGATCTGATCGCTATTATGCTAAAAAACTGTAGTTGTAACAAAATTCTAAAACTAATCGAAAATTGAATCATTCTATACATTCCGTTTTTAAAACAGATGTCATTACTCTGTGCTTGAATGACAATAATGATGCAAAAATCTGCTTTACGCAAAATCTATACTATACTAAATGTTTAATCAATATTTAAAAGCCAGGATATCACGGTTTGTAAATGCTATTTACTTACAGATTTTTTTACCCTGCAATATTCTAATAATTTTTTCTTTATATTTCCATAATAATGATCCTTACCTATAGTAAGTTATTAAATTCACTAGAATACATCAATGAAAACAATTTACATTTAAAAACAATAAATAAAACAATTTTTATGTAACCTAAATAGTACAATTTAATTAAAATTAATTAGTAAATGACACAAAAATAAGACAAAAATCTGTATCTGCTCTTATAGTTTCTAATGCAATAAAACGTTTAATACGTTTGATTTTGTAGCCACAAATACTGAAAATCAGCTGGTGTTGAAAATATCGTCACCTACTTTTTATTAGACGATTAATGTGCATAAAGATCTATGTATAATAGACTACAAACATAAAATTGTTATAATATCTAGACCGTAAAGAATAAAAATTTTCTTTAATACTATAAAATCACATGTTATAATAGCATATATTCTTGATTTCGGTAGATTGTTCAATTAACAATAATATCTGAAATTCATATTTGTTGACACCAATCATTTACACACCTGTTAATATAATACACAAAATTAGTTCGTAAAGTGCACGTAATAATCAAATTTCTTGTTACTAATACACCTTGACATATAAAATGTATTTACAGGTAAAATTAGTACATACGTATATATTTTAAAATACATATTACAAAAACCCATAAATACACTTATTCTTAGATATATTTTAATAAAATTAATATCAATAAATACCTGGCTTATATAGGGCTCGAAAAGTACTGTTAAATAATGCTTCTTTAGCAAACGAACACTTTTGAGTCACTATCTTCGGCAAACGCAGGAGGAGAAAAAAACAAAAAGTAAAAGAACGCAGTCGTATTTTTAGTCTGTAAAAGCAACAATAACCGAGTCCCACTATTGC